ATAAACAAGGAAATTGTTCAATATTGTATCTATTTAAAAAAAAAAAATTACCTCTCATAAAAAACAAAAAGTATTTTCAAAACATTTACATTTTTGTACCAACAACATAATGCATATTTAAAAAATTCTATATCCATATGAATGATTACATGTCTTTTCTGAGTGATGGTAATTATAAATATATGTCAATACGACTCAAGGTATTTCATCACAAGATACTTTGTGTTTCTGGGGCATAAAATAAAATTTTACAATATGCATCTTTACATACATGTTTAAGACAAATTTCACAATAAAATTTGGTTAAGGAACAACAAAGAAGCACTTAGCAACCCAACTGAACATTTTTTTTCTTCATGCTAGTCTTATGCAATGTGTTTGCATGCTTGATTTGTACTGCATGTTTTTGCTGTTGTAATTACTGTGCATGATGCAAACCAAATTCGAATGAAACAACGAATCAAAACTTGAAGCACCTTGAAAAATGCATTGCCATTTATGTGGCCAACCCAGGACATTGACAATGAATTTATTTTTCTATTTAGCAAACCTTTTGTTCTTTCTCTCTCCAAGTATCTGGCCAAATTCAGAAAAAAAAAATGACAAATTTTGAATCATTTTAACCTGGTAAAGTTTGTCTTTTTCCTTTGTTAAAATTTTGAGTTATTCAGTCAATTAACATTTTTTCTTTTGCCTTTTGTCAGAAGTAATCCAAAGCATGTTAATTTTTAAGTAATTTTCCTAAAAATAGCCAGGAAATATTTCCATGTAAATTTGTAAGAAAAAAAACAAACAAAAATCAACATTACTTTTTCTGTTCTAATTAGATGTATTTGACCATGCATGGTTCTTTCTGTATTCCTTGTGAGTAAGAATATTTAACCCTTTTTATACAGATGTACATTTAAAATTTTCATCTTTATCATACAAAATTTTATTATAATTTCATTTATTTGATATTTATTCAAATCTATATTGGCAAGAAAGAAACTATAAAACAAAGTATATACACACATGCAATTCTGAGTCTGAAATATCAAGCTAACAAATTAAAATGAAACCATTTGCAATCTGGAGAAATTATGAAAAAAAAAAATACCAAGTTGTTTCATTAACAGCTACATTGCATGGCAAGATTTTTCTAGCATTTTATTTACTTTTTTTAATTAAAAAAAAATTAAAGTTTTCTTTTTTAATTAGTATTTACTTCAGTTTCAGAAAAGAAACGTGATGAGAACATTTGCATACACCTACAATAAAGTAAATACTTGACTGCATTTTGAGTACTTTTCAATAAATAACATTGAGAAAAATAAAGATAAAATATTTAAATACATTTTTAGACTTAATTTTGGTTAAACTATTTTACTTATGAAAACAAATTAACTAATTTCCTAGTATATACAACTCTATTTTTCTAATCATCTAAAGTTGACAAGTACATAAAAAGATAAATTATATTGCTAAATAAATGAAAACCATGCCCTATTCAGCTTGTTTTAGGACAGATTCTTTTACTGCATCAATACTTTCTTTGCAAAAAGATATCTTTTTGAATTTTAATGCAATAAATCATCATTATCAATGATTACTATTAATATTAAAATCATACAAACAACTTTTGTCTGTATTTCCCTAATGATGAATTATTGTTATTATACATTGATTTTGTGCCATGTTGGCTATTATCACCACAACATTTCATCTATTGTACCCTCTGTCTTCTGATAAATAAACTCAAGACAATAGAAATCTACTTGTAAATCTTCTGAACCTGTGAGTAATGACAAAGTTTTAAGGAAAATGGAAACAAAAAGAACACTAAATCTTATAAAGATACCATTGAAATTTCTAGGACACATAATGAGGAAAGAGGGCTTATAAAATGACATCACAGACAAAAGAGTCAGAACAAAATGTCAACTAACATACCTGACTAGCTGATATAAATAGATGGCAGAATGAGTGGTGAGAAAGACAGGCAAAATGTAAAGACAAACGTTACAACTACAAAGGATAGGAAGTCATGGAGAGTCATGATTTCCCACCTCCTGAAGGGATACAGCACATTGAAGTGCTTGTCATAGATGGTAACTTTCCTGGAATTTTGAACCAAATCCTTTATTCCATTTTGCATGGATAGTGGAATGAAAACAATCTGCTACCTTTAAGTTCAGATCAAAATTCCCAGAAGTTCCCCAATTACGTTAAACATCTGAAGAAGGCAAGATTGAACAAAAATGTTCCAGTCACAACCAAAATGACGATACTAGTTCAAATAAATTAGTATAATTAAAAGATACAGACAATTGTCTACTAGTAATTAAAAAACATCATTTGTATATAACAAGCAAGTAAATTTAATTAAAATGTGCACGCATCTAGAAGGGAAGTTTCAAATTTGCAGTCATCCAGTTACCAAGCTGTTTCACTTGAGGATACCTAACATTGTTTAATTCTGCACTTTAAATGGAATACATAGTAGGAACAGTTAACAAATAAAGTGATTATTACTGTTCTAACTGAGGAACATTATTTTTTTTTAAATACATTATCTTCTGAAAATTTATTAAATCTTCACTTTTAAATTATTTTAAAGCAATGGTGATTAGTGGCTTTATTGAGCAAAACAAAACATTAAAAGAATAAAACTAGTCTCTTATTAGGAATCTTAAATTATGTATTAACTTTCAATTTGTGAATAACTGCAAATTTTGATGATATATGAAATCTGTCAATTTTATTTTATGATTACTTATTCCGAATAACTCATAAAATTAGATTTGTCAATTGGTTTTGTAATGGTATAAAACTGAACAACATTTTACAAAAATTGATCAGAATTGGTGACTGAACAAGTTTGGGGATAGTACATTAATTGAATTATTGGAGGGTAATATATTGAATATTCAAAATTAAAATATTTTTATACAAGTTTTTTTTTTAAATAAATTGTTTTTTGTTCCACTTAGTCTTGCACAATCAATATTGATTTGCAAATCATACTAAGACATTACTAGAAAACTAATCAATAGGCTGATAAATTGATTTCTACAATTCTTTTCCAATTCAGTCAATGAATAGATAAAATGCTTCAGTATTAGCAATGAAGCCAGTTGACTCTGGCAAGATGATTTCTTCATTTCAGGTAATTGCCTTATCACTGTTAAATTAGAAATATATAGTTATTTTGCACTGGATATTATAACTCATTGGATTTCTAAATGAAACTAGCAGATCAATGATTAAAAATAGCTTCAGGCAAACTAACTCTGTACGTCTTAAACAATTGATGATACAAAATCACAAAGAACTTTACCAACTAATGAAAACTATGTCAGTTGAAGATATCCAACAGTAGCTACAACTAAAACAGATAGCTCATGTAACTCAAAGAGAAAATAATGACAATCTGTTGACATTGCATCTAACTTTAAACAAAAGGTTACAAAAGAAACTCCACCAATCCTAGAAAGAGTGAACCTGATAAACTGTTTTAAGAGAAAAAGATTTTACACGTTTCAACCAACAGTAATGCTAACTTTTCAGTCAATGAATACCAAATGACTGCTGTATGGAAATGGCTGATCTCACCATTACTATTCTATTTAGTTTTGGATTCAATTGTACATTCAAATTTTACAATTTGGAATGCAACTTGTTAAAAGCCACAAGTTTTCTTGGGATGGATAGTGGAATGGAATCTACAAGAACTCCTACAAAAGGTAGGCAAGAAAAGCTACAAGAAAAGACTAAACATTAATTGGAGGAAGATTGAATGCAAGGTGATTAGCAAAAGGAACAGCCCAACATGCAAATTACAAATTGGAAATACCAAAATCAAACAAGTACAGCAATTTAAATAACTGAAATCATTTTAACAGAGGAAAGAAAATGTGGCCCTAAAATCTGAAGGTACTCACATAACAAAATTAAGGCAAGACGGACAGATGAAAACACATAAGGTACCTAATGAACTTGAGTAAATCAATAGCAGAACAAGTTTTAAGAGACAGCAAAAAAAAAATTTATTAACACCTACAAAGGACAGAAAATTGTGGGGAACCATGATTGCCAGAAATCTGAAGAGACACAGCACATACAAGAGTGCAACTTGTACAGTAGCATCTATGGTATATGGATTGTTTTTTTATATAGAGAAAATACCCTATGTCATTTACAGAATATTATTCAGTGATTTTTGCTCAATATTCTTATATCTGAAATTAATATTTTATAAATAATCTTATTTAGTAATATTTGAAATTTTATAAATCTGATAAAGACACAATCTAAAAGTCTTCATTGGTCTCGGTGTTCTTTCTCATTTATAGAAACAGAAAAACATTCAAGCACCAATTGCCTTTAGCAATGACACTGAAGCAGATAAAATAGATTTAAGTTTAACAAACCTACTAAACTACACCCATCATTACTTTGACTAATAATTGAATGAAGCCTATATGCAATTGAATTGGACTTGCGCAAAAAAAAAAAAAAGTTCCAAACAATTCTTTGATGTATCATAGACAAGAATTTGGAATAAGTTTATTAGCCATTAATTGATTACAGAATCTAAAGGGAACATCTAAAATATTTTTCATTAGATATGAGATGCTATATAACTCACCACAATAAACCTATTTAACCTTGTTTGAAGAAAAACTAGGCTGAATTTTTTTATAATTAATGATAAAAATTGCTTTAAAAAAAAACATTTGTAAAACTGAGCTCAAATCAAAATAAATTTTTTCTAATTATATTTTACAAGCATTTTATCTTTAGTTTCTTCATAACACTTAAAAAAAGGGTTAAATACATCTTATAGTGGCTTGCATAACTTTATACATCAAGATTTTTTTCTGTATATTTACCTTATACTTTTCCTGTCTAGAATATATACATATTTTATAGTTTTTGAAAATTTGTTTTATTTCTGATGATTCTTGCATGTAAAGTGTGCTTTGCAATGTTAGAGCCATGTTTAATTTGATTTTCAGGCCCGCAGTGCAACGTCTCCACCAGTTCACTGCATCAGTCAGCTACGATTCTACGAAAAAAAGCATTGCAATCTGTGGGAGGGAGTATCACAAGTGATTCTTCACCGGAGCCATCTTAACTATGAAGTAATTGTTGTTCCTTTTTCTTTGAGAAGCATAAACAAAAGCCAAAAACAAACTCATTTTCTTCTATTATATTTTGTCAATTCTGGTTTCAATGACACACACACACCATGTTAGGCCAGCCAGGTGTCACTTATGAATCAATTGATTCATTTTTGTTTCATATTTTTTTTTTTTGGTCAGGGTGTAATTTTTTTTTTCAAGTAACTGTCATTTCATCTTAGATAGGATTATGGAATCCAAATTCAACTATTTTAAAATTCATAATTAGTATTTTCCAGCTCCATTTATTCAACCTGCTTCCTCTTCATTTATGCATTGTCCTATTTGTATTGTGTTAAATACATCTTTGCTGTTTTAGACCATAAAATATATACCCACTATTATGATACTGTAGAGTATATACAATTTTAAACCTTGCTTTTTCTACAACTTAACATTTCATGTAATCTAATGATTGGGTTTTGCAAAACCTTTTACAAGAGCAAACTTTATGAAAAAAACAAAGCCATAAAAAAAAAAAAAAAAAAAATACACAAAAATTGACAACTCAGCATAGTAATTTCTTTTAGTTTTTTTTTAACTGAAAAAACAAACCATAACTAATAGTGAAGTAGACTTTGTTATCTCAAAATGAAAGGCGGAAAAAGAGAAAGGCTAAGAAAGCATGTAGGTTTTTACGAATAGCATTGTAATAATGATATTTGGTTGAATGACATTTTCAAATTAAGTGAATTCAACACATTTTATTATTATAATAATTATGGGTACCACTAAAAATCCACTGAAAAAATGAGTATACATGATGAAAAAAAACTGCCTCAAACTTAAGATTTTAGTGATAGAACTTTTTTGTTAAGAGGAAAAAGCAAAGGATATTTTTATTATCAAATTATATTTTTTCTTAAACCATTTTAGAACCACCACAATTACTTGTATCAGTGAGTGACCATAAATTAGTATAGAAAATTTTTAGCATTTTGCAGGGAAAAACACTGATTTGAAAATTCTTGCAAAAATCAACTAATTGTTGGATTTTAATGAAACTTTCAGGATTTATTCACCAATGAGTTCAATTATTTTAGATGCTTTTTTTTTTTACATCTGTTACCCCTTAATTTTAGAGAATTTAGCCAAATTTCTTTTTGTAAAGCTTAATGTTTATATTAGTTATAAGCAGAACTCTTAAAAATTGACATCAGTTTCTTTTGCAATACAGAATCCCCAGTTACTGAAAATCTACTCTGAATTGTCAAATAAAAATAAGACATTATTGAATTAGAAATGCTCTTAATTGCTCTTATGAATAGGATAAATTATGGACATTGTCTTAAGAAAAGCATATTTTTTTTTTTTTTTTTTTTTAATAATAAACTTTTTACAATAATTAGTTTCATAATTTTTTTATTAAAATGATTTACAAAGTTTTAAATCTTAAAATTCTGTATTAATTTACGTGATATTGTTATTAAGTAAAAACTATAATTTTTACAGATATGTCCCCTACAGAAAAATTCCAAACATAACTATGGACAGTTGTCAACACCTCATTAAAAAAACTCCCCTCACAATGCTTTTCTGCAATATTTTAAACTAAAAATAAGTAATATTTGTTTCAAATCAGATTAATTAAACTTGAAATCAGCTAAACTGCCTCAAAAAGTTTCAGAAAAGTATATTTTATTGTTTAAAGATTTTTAAAAGAATTATGTTCTGCTCAGAGATTTGTAAATATAGCTAGAATCAGCCAATTTAAAAAAAAAAAAAAAAAAAAAAAAAAGGCATTCTAATCAATTTAAATTCATTTTAAAATACAGCAAGTGTTTTGTTTATTGGAAATATTAAATTTAAATTATTAGCCTGAAATTAAAAGTAAAATAACAGCTTCAACAAGAAATTTTTAAAAATAAAAATCTATTTCAAACCTTGAGTATCATATATATAATTAGGCAGTAATTATTCAGTTAAACATATTCTATTCAAAAGTATAGGCATTTTAAGCCTATTAAGTTTGATCATATTTTTTTTTTTTTTTTTTTTCATTCTTTTCCTGTATTTTCCTGGTGTTTTGCAAAATATCATTTGCAATTTAGTAGTGGCGAACCTACACTTTTGGGGCCCTGAAGCTTGAACATATATGGGAGCACAACCAATTATACATTTGAGGATCCAACTGCCAAAATGTAGTCTATGAACAGATTCTGGAAAACTCAATGAACCCATACACAAGGGTGTTTGGGTACTACAAGCCCACAAGAAAATTTTTATATTTGACCAATGAAAGAATTTTGAGGCCATATGAAATGAATATGAAAGCATATTCTAAGGCCAGGATTAGCTACTTCAACCCATTGGCTTATGATTCTATCACTAAAATGACCATCTTTTAATTACAATCACTTAAATTTCATCACCTACTGTAACCATTTCAAATGTACAATATTTTTCCTTTAGTATTTAAAAGTTAAGTGATAATGATTATCCAATAAATTCTTAACCCTTCAAAAGATCCTAACTGATAATTTTCCTTTCATAAAAAAATTTAAATCTATCAGTTTTTAAAACTTCAGATCTAAAACAAATGTGGTTTTATCTTTTACTTAAAATGAAGGATGTGGCAGAAATACCTTAAGACATTAGTTGCAACAACATCTTTATCTAGCTAATGACCTATGATTTTGTGGGAAGTATTTCTGCTACACCCTGTATAAAAATAAAAAATACTTCCAATAACAAATGTAAAGCCTCTCCATTTTACACAAATCTATAAATATAGTAGAAAATAAAATAATTTCTCTTAAGTATATTGAAATACTCTAATGAGTACATTAAACTAAATAACTTTAATTTCACACTTCTATTTTAATACCTTCATGAATTTAACAGACTTAGGTAAAATAAAATGTTTTTCACACCTCATAAAAGTTATTTTTTCCAGATTCTTTCAGTTTTAAATTGTATGTGTCTACAATTCGGATGACTACAAAAGGGTGATATTTGACAAGCTCATCTCTCAAACTGTATGCAATGATGGTATAGAGTATTATCATCACATTGGAGAAATTCACCATTTGAAAAGGCTCCATTAAATTTCTTCACAAATAACAACATTAAAGCTTACGTTTAAAAGACCTTTGTACCACTTAACACAAAAGGAATTATATATGTGAAAGAGTGTAAGCGTTTGTTCCCTTTCATTGAAGAGGGTGGAAAAATTTGCCCTGTATCTATGCACAAATATATTGCTATATACATTACATGTTTGCCTTGCAAATGGATTTAAATAGGATAAGCTTCCTAGTTATGCAGTACTCATACTTTGAATTAATTCAGGTTCCATCATTTTAGCGTAGGTACCTCCACGAAATCGCTAAAAAATGAGCATAGCTTGATGAAAACGCCGCCAACCTTGCTGAAAACAAAATTTTATGTTATTATTAAGAGGAAAGACCAAAGTTTTTTTAAATTATTTTAAAAAATTTTTCCTTCTTTTTAGAACATTCTAAATTTTGATTAAAAAACCTTGTTTCTATTTGTATCAGCGGAACTAGTAAATAACAGACAATTTTTAGCACGTTTTTTTAGTATGACACACAATTTGAAAAATTGTGCAAAAATAGAAATAATTGTTGGATGTTAATGAAACTTTCAGGAACTATTCACAGATGATCGAAATTATAAATATGTTTTTTTTTTTTTATTAAAGTCATGGTAGAAATATTTTTTTTAAATATTTATTACCCCCCCCCCCCAACTAATTTTATGAAAACGCTAGAAATTTGATCGCATCGGGTTTAGTGATTACAATAATTAAAAGCACAGGGCTTTGAGGAATGCAAATCATGTTTTTGTTTTTAATTGGATCTGCAGTACCTGAAAATCAGCTCTGAATTGTAACATACAAAACTCAATAAAACAAAGATATTTAATTTCAAATGCTTTTATTTGCTTTTATGAATATGGACAATATTTTCTGAAAAATGAATTTTTAATACAATTATTTGTTGTTTCTTTAATTATAATAGATTTTACATTTAAGTTGTTAAAATATTATAAAATTAGTTAAAAGCCGCTTCAGCTTTCCTAAGTGTCCTTATGAGATCTTTTTTTAGCGTGTTGTAAATTGTATCATTTTGACTAATCAGAAGATCCACAGTAATTAAGAAATGTAATTTTGTGCTTATAACCACGCTGTAATTATAAAATACGGAAGACCAACCAGAATATAATTAAGTTGCGTTATTTCAGTTAAGCATTGTTCTCCGCTGTTAAGGCTTTTACTTTTGCGAAACACGTGTGGAGAAGTTAATTTGATTTTTCAATTTCAACTGAGAAGGGTACCTACAAGTATCATCTTATGAAATTTATATGATGATATTTTATATTAATCTCAGTTATGACATTTTTCCATAAATGAAAAAAAATCAAAATTAATAATAAAATGAATGCAAATACAAATAACAGTAAAATGTAATAAATGTACATAAAAATTATAGTATTTATCTATACTTCTGATAAAATTTCATAAGAAAGGTACCTATAAATTAATTAGATACCTTTCTTATGAAATATGAAACTTAATCTCACTCTTAGCAGTCTTATTTTAATTGCTTTGTAATATATTTTCCATAAAGCATCGTAAACTTAAAGGGGAAAGCTAAGTACAAAAAAAAAAATTAGAGCACTGAAAGTTTTTCTTAATAACGAGGTAAATAATTTGTTCACTTAAATGTAAATTATTTCACTTTTCTCCTTCCGTAGAACAAATTAACCTCATGGAATTCGTAAATATGTCATTCATCACCTGTCAAGAGACACGAAAGTTTATGACCTGCTTCGTTTTATTTTCAAATTACATCTTTTTGGCACAAAAGTTAAGTTAAGTTAAGTTCAAAATATTTTAAATAAACATTATAATTTCTGATTTTCTTAAAATAAGTTTTGAAAAAATGATAATTGATATTTAAAAGAATTTCAAAGTGAGATTTCCATTTTTTTTTTTA